CAGCAGCATGATCTTAATGATCTTATGTTGTAATAGTTTAGACAGGCGTTTTATTTATATATTTATTTGTTTTTGTTGAGATTGTAATAGTTATAGTTTTTCTACTTTCCTGTCTTCTTTCATATTATATAGGTTAGTAGTTAGTTAATTGAGGTTAAAAAGCGTTTTAGCGTTTTTACGTTTTTTTCTCATTTTCCTTCTTATAAATACCTTGTATTTGACCGTTAAGGATTGTTGAATGAAAAATATCAGAAAAGGGATTTTGTTCCCCAAAAATATCTTCATCTTTTACATGGTATCCAGAGCCAATATCGATTGAAGCTTCGATCGTAGATTTCCATGGCGTCGTCTTCCCGCAGAGAGATAACAGGCGAGATCGCGATGTCAATTGAAGATTCGATGTATCTGCAGAGCTCCGATCATCCAGGATTGCGTTTAGTTTCGATCCAACTGAATGGAGGTAATTTCCTTCCATGGCGGCGTGCCGTTCTTCTTGCACTCGGAGCGAAGAACAAGCTGGATTTCATCAATGGAAAAATCACGGCTCCGCTTGAAGATGCGAACAATTTCAACAGCTGGAGAAAAGCTGATTGTACGGTAACTTCCTGGCTTTTAGCTTCTATGGCACCTGAGATTGCTGAGGGATTCATCTATGTCGATTCTGCATTTCAATTGTGGGAAATTATAAATCAGCGATTCGGAGAATCAAATGCAGCTTTATTGTTCAGTTTGCAAAAGGAGATTGCGAACATCAAACAAGGCTCATCTTCTGTGGTTCTGTACTTCACGAAATTGAATAGGTTGTGGGATGAATGTAGTACTTTAGCACCTTTACCTTTGTGTGGTTGTGCTAAATCAAAGGAATTACTAGAAATGGATTCAAGGAATAAGCTGATGCAATTTCTCATGGGACTCAATGAGACATATGATTCAATTAGCAGTCAGATTTTACTTATGGATCAGTTGCCAAATGTGAATAAGGCATATTCACTTGTTTTGCAAGAGGAGAGAAAAAGAAGTGTGCACATTTTGTATCCTGATTCTGCAGTTACTGCAGCAATGGCAGTTAAGACAAAGGATTTTGGGAACAGAGGCAGGGGTAACATGATGAGAGGAAGAGGTCAGAATGCTTATGGAGGCAGAGGCAGAGGTTCAATGCTTAGAAAGTCTAAAGAAGAGAGAGCTCAGTTAGTTTGTGAGCATTGCGGGTATAATGGACATGAGCAAAAGGAATGCTTCAAACTTCATGGTTATCCTGACTGGTACAAGGAGCTCAAAGACAAAACTAACAAAGGATATGCAAATCAAGTGGAGAGCATGGAGAGTTTCCCAAAAGGCATAGACATGGCAAGCCTTGCTCAGGAGTTGATGAAGTTCATGGGAAGCAAACAGAAAGGAGATCAAGACAATATGTCAGAGGGAGTTAACTTTGCTGGTAACATTGCTGACCTTAATTTTCATTTTGCATTATCAATGTTTGAAGATATTGGAAGAAGTTCTTGGATATTGGATACAGGCGCAAGTAAACACATGTGCACAAATGAGTCATTAATTTCTGACCTTACCCCTTTAACCAAGTCCATTTCAGTGTACCTGCCAGATGGCACTTTGAAACATGTTACACATACAGGAAAAGTTAAGATAAACAGCCATATTGTTCTTAAAGATGTCCTATACATACCTTCTTTTAAATTCAACCTCCTGTCTATTTCTCAGCTTGCACATGATTCCAAGATACAATGTGTCTTCACTCCTTTTCACTGTCAATTGCAGGACCTTGAGGATTGTAAAGTGGTGGCAGAAGGGAAGACCATAGGAAACTTATATGTTCTTGAGCCTAATTGTAATTCTTCTGTTCATTCTTCTACTCCTTGTTTTAACACATTTCCTTGTCAAACACCTCTTGAGAAATGGCACATTATGTTGGGGCATGCCTCTTTGAGTACTCTGAAACATTTGTGTTTTTTGAAGAATGAATTTTTTGATTCTGCTATTATTGCCTTGAAATCTTGTGAAATTTGTTCTAAGGCCAATCATCATAGAGATCCTTTTCCTACTTCTTCTGTGAAAAGCACCTCAATTTTTTACATAATTCATATAGATCTTTGGGGACCGTGTGGTGATGATAACATTAAAGACATCAAATATGCTTTAACCATTGTTGATGATTACAGCAGAGCAACTTGGTTATACCTTTTAAAACATAAAACTCAGGTTCCACATACCCTTTCTTCCTTCTTTGCCTTGATTAAAAACCAGTTTCAGAAAACCATCAAAACAGTTAGAAGTGCTGGAACACGCCGACGAGGCGGTCCTTCCCACGGATCGATATCGGATACCAAACACGTACATACATGATTTCGAATAACCCTAGGCATGCTCCTAAAGGACGAACA